CTAAAAGAGGACACAAAGTTCGACGAAATTGTACGGGCGACAGCGATTAACACATCAAAAATTGAAAGCAGAGAAATCCAGAGAAGCCAGCAAACCCATAGTGAGCCTGTTAATGCAGTGAAGGAGCAACGAACAAGGAAAGCGTACGGAGGCCGACAAAAAGTTAACCCGACATCGTCGAAAGAAACTACAAGATTTGACTTCACGGGAAAATGTTACAGATGCGGCCACGAAGGGCACCGTGCTTTTAGATGTTCCATGAAAGACAAAATTTGTGTTAAGTGTAAGAAGGTAGGCCACATTGCCACCGTTTGTATGCAGGGGGGAAACATTAAAACAGTTCGACAAGTAACGCAATCCGAGGATAATGATGACATCGTTGAAGACGATCAATTTGAAATGTATACGATTGGAAATATTTTTCACATGCACGGCGTAAAAAGCGGAGGGAGTGGCAAGTTTATGGTGAACATCCAGGTGGAACAGAACAATTGTGAATTTGAACTGGACACGGGGGCAGCAGTTTCGACGATGTCTTACCGAAATTTTTTGAAGGTGTGTCCTGGGCTCTCGATCCGACACATCTTCTCGATTGAGGACTTACTCTGGTGAGATAATTGAGCCACTGGGCACATGTAATGTTACGATCAGTTTTGGAAACAAAGTAACCATTGGGCGCTTATTTATTGTGGGAGATGATGTTGACTCTATTTGCGGCCGACAGTGGATTAGGATCCTGGATCTTCACAAACGTCCGCTGAATGACTTAGAAATTCACGAGGTCACGGTCACGCAAGCAAATTCCGATGAATTGTTGAAGTCGTTTTTGAAGGAATTCGGCGATGTTTTCGATGATAAATTAGGTCGAATTCCAACGATGGAGAGCAATTTACAAATGCTAGAGAACACCGCGCCAAAATTTTGGAGAGCTCGACCAGTACCGTATGCCTTGAAAGATCGTGTGAACGCTGAAATTGATCGACTTGAGGCGATGGGCGTGATTGAAAAGGTTGTTCACAGTCAATGGGGAACACCTGTGGTTCCGATTGTAAAATCTGACGACTCCATTCGTTTGTGTGCGGATTAGAAGGTGACATTGAATCGATTTTTGAAGGATGACAAGTACCCCATTCCCAGGATCGAAGATATTTTTGCGAAAATGAGCGGGGGAAGATTTTTCTGTACACTTGATGTCAGTCGCGCGTATCTACACATGCCTGTTGACGAACATAGCGCAATGTTGCAAGCATAAGTACTGAAAAAGGGGTTTACAAGGTCAATAGATTAATGTTCGGAGTAAAGACTGCACCCAATATCTGGCAGCGCTTTATGGATCAACTACTGCACGAATTGGATGGGGTAGCCTGTTTCTTTGATGATATAATCGTGCAAGGATCAACGATCGAAGAAACTATGCAAAGATTAAGAAACGTACTGAAGAAACTGCGAGACAACGATTTGCACTTGAAGAAGGAAAAGTGCCAATTCTTCAAGTCGAACGTGAAGTATTTGGGCCATCGAATTGATTCGAGGGGCCTGCATCCTCTGGATGATAAGACCACTGCGATACGCAATGCTACAACACCTACAAACGTCGAGGAACTGCGTACATTTTTGGGCTTGATAAATTATTATCACCGTTTTATACCCGATCTGGCTACGAAGATAAAACCGTTGAACAGTCTCCTGGGAAAGGAGGTTAAATTTATCTGGTCAGATAAATGCAAAAAGGCGTTTGATATAATAAAAAAAGAATTGACCAGCGACCGGGTTTTGATGCACTATGACCCGAAATTGCCATTGATCGTGGAAAATGATGCATCATCTGTTGGTCTCGGTGCCGTGTTATCACATAAGATGTCCAATGGGATGGAAAGACCAATCGCCTTTGCATCCCGAACATTGTCGAAAAGCGAACAAAATTATAGCCAAATAGATAAGGAAGCAACCGCAATTTTTTGGGGCATTAACAAATTTTTCCAATATTGCTACGGCCGGAAATTTGTATTGCGCACGGACCATAAGCCGCTAGTGACGATCTTTAACCCCGACAAGGCACTACCAACGCTTTCAGCAATGCGAATGCTGAATTACGCAATATACTTGTCAGGATTCAATTATACAATAGAGTATCGGAGCACGCACGAAAATTTAAATGCAGATTATTTTTCACGTTTCCCAGAACCAACAAAGATTGCTGAAGACGAAACAAGCATATTTTAAACGAAGCAGATAGAGTACATGCCAGTAACACGAGAACAAATTCGACGAGAAACTATTAAAGATGAAGTATTGCGTAAAGTTTGCCACGAACTGGAGAGTAGTTCATCGAACCCGAACGAAACACAAACGAAGTATAACATGCACGATGGATGCATTTTCTATGGTATGCGCGTTGTCATCCCAAAATCACTGCAACAAACAGTTTTGAACGAATTACACGATGCTCATTTGGGAATGACGAAGATGAAGGCTATGGCACGTAGTTACTGTTTTTGGAATGGTATTGATGCCGATATTGAAATGACGGTAAAGAAATGTCGAAGTTGCTGTTTGGTTCAGAAGGAAGCCGCCAAAGTTCCAGTGCATTCGTGGGAGTTTCCATCGTTCCCATTTCAACGAATTCATATAGACTATGCTGGGCCATTCATGAACACGAACTTTCTATTGATCGTCGACGCTTACAGTAAGTGGCCGGAGATTTTTCCTACGAGGAATACTGACACGAAAACTACGATTCGAATTTTGAGAAGGACGTTTGCTAGGTTTGGTATTCCAGTTACGATGGTTAGCGACAATGGCCCACAATTTCGATCAAACGAGATGGACACATTTACGAAACAAAATGGTATTCGCCACAAATTCACGGCGCCATACCATCCAGCAAGTAATGGGCAGGCTGAACGTTATGTGCAAATGCTGAAGAAGGGTTTGCGTTGCATGGCAGATGAGCCTGGTGATTTGGATTTGAAGTTGGATCGCCTGCTGATACAATATCGAAAGGCACCGAACAGTACAACAGGTCAAAGTCCAGCTGAACTCATGTTTGGGCGACAAATCCGAACCAAATTGGATCTCATGAAACGAGATCTGACCACTGAGATGAATGAAAATTCGTCGAATGAACCAGTATCACGAGAATTTGTATCAGGTGACAAAGTACAGATTCGCTCATACCGAAACTTACGAGTTAAATGGGAATTTGGGACTGTATTCGCACGATGTGGCCTTACACATTATGATGTAGAAGTGGATGGCAGACATGGAAAGTGTCACGTAAACCAGATGCGACGAACGCTTTGTGAAGGAGGAGATGATATCCATGCAGATCATTCAGATTCGGCCTTAGAAGCCGCACCAAGTACATCGCAACCACATCCAACCATTATGTCGAAATCAGCCGAGACAAGAGCAGCGTGTTTTTCTACCGATTCTTCGGTGATTGACTCAACTTCACCCATGAGATTACCGGTTGGTAAATCAACACCTTCTAGGCAATCAAATACTTGGCAACAATCGCCGCAGCAACAGCAACTGAAACTGACCAAGAACCGACGTTGGTACAACCAGATTCAGCCGATATTCTTCGTAGATCAGGCCGATTGCGTTTACCGCCAAACCGCTTGAATTTATAGTTGTAATTAAGGAGGGAGGATTGTTATGTCTCTGAATTAATGATACGTATAATGCATAGTTGGCATCGCTCTAATTTTTCGAGATGTAATTATTTTTATTACGAATTGAATAGAACGAAAAAGTAACAACTTGCAACTTATTTCATTAGACGTGAATATATAAAAAACGCCGTCATATCCAACAGCTTTACTTAATAGTATTTAGCACAGTGACTTCATCAACCGCCCTAAAAGTAAATTCTGTGCAATTTTCCGTACACCTGTTATTATTGTAAAATAGCAATAAATCCTTATCAGGTTGTAATGAAGCAGTGGACTGCAGAAAGTGATTATTCAAAGCTTCCACATCAGTAAAATGATCCGGCAAGATGACATTATTATTGGACCTAATATTTTCTGATTTCTTGGCAACTTTTGTTTTTCAAATGCAATGCCTATGTTTTTTACGATATTTGAAAATACACAAAACGGCAATCAATTTTCTATACGACAACATAAAATATGCATATGGTTGATATACAAAAAATGGAGAAATCTGTGATTCAATGTATTTAGAAAATTTATGAAATCTAGCATGCCGTGTGCCATATCTAGGTATATGTTATATCAATATCACACAGAAGAGACCTACAATAACTTGCTCAAAGTTTCGTTTTGACTTTTGGGCGATACGATCTCCCCGTGTAAGTGCATTCTGACCGCTCACGGCATGCATTTCATATATTTTCTAAATACTGAATAGCGAATTTCTCTATTTTTTTTGTATATCAACTACCTATATGCACATTTTATGCTGTCGTACAGAAAAAATGGATTGCTCTTTTCAAATACCGTAAAAAACATACATAGGCACTGCACTTGAAAAACAAAAGTCCAGTTAAACCGGAAGTAATGCCGGAAGTTTGAATGTGCGATCAGATAGGTTGTAATGTTACATATAAAATTATATTTAGCAAATTTTTCGTATCTCGCCAAATAAAAGAAATATTGAGGGGACCCTCTTATCTCAAACGCACTGTATATCTCTACTCGATGACTAAAAAAGATGCAGTTCAAGTCCCGATTGAAGCTTGCAGAAAATAAATCAATTACATTCCAGTATTCAAAATCACAAAGTCTTGGAAACAGTTATTATCAATATCATCTATACCTACCTACATTGCGTAATATAACGAGGGAAGAGTAGTTTGAAAGAAGCGGTAGGTACTTACGGCATATCCATCCAGATGGACAACACACGTCAGTTTCTTGATACAAAGGTGCGCACTTTCTCATAATTTCATACTGGAAGAATAACAAATCGAGGCAGTATTGCCTTTCGCAATTTACTACACCCGCGCCACCTTCTCCTTTCCCACAATAACACTTCGTACATTTCTCGGTTGGATGGATAAATTTTTGACCTTCTAAAAACCGCTGCTTGGCTATCGTACACGTTTGAAACGGTGCTACAAAACTGGGATAAAATAGTTATCTACCAATTACCGTAAGCCCTTACGACAAACTTGAGATGTATAGCAGCACTCCCCCAGCTTTTCATCGAGGCGACAGCCTTCAGTAACGTTGAACATAATGCAGTCTGCATAGTAACAATTAAATGTCCCACTGAAATGGTGGTTAATAAGAAGGATTCAAACAAACGGCAGCATATACGTACGGGTGTCCAACCTCTTGCAAACCGCAACTACATCCCATGCACTGTTCCCATGTCAAGCTACTTTGGGCGGTTTCATCAGGTTTATAAAAGTTTCCATTGAAATAACAGACGTTGCTGTTGGCTGCAAGGTCAACGCACTTATATTCCACCGGGCAGTTACTTTCGTTGGAGCATTTCGGTTCGCATTTGAAACTTTCGTAGAGGAACGCGAGTTTTGTATGTGGACAATCACCCGGGCAACTACCTAAAACAATGATGCTGGATGATGCCAACAGTGATAATATACATCAGACATATGTAGCTCATATTCGTAATATCTTCAGTCCTAAGGTGTGGACGACCCTTAAGAGTAAAGAGTAGAAGGTTGAACGCATGGCCTTGCTGGCGAACTCTATTTAGACTACAACGCAAAGCTGTTAGAATAATATCTCGACTACCTTACAGATCTGAATGTCAACAAGCATTCGTCAGGTTAAATATTTTAACCCTTCCCTGTCTTTTTGTACTGGCTTGTCTTTGTTATGCTAAACAAAATATTTCCCTGTATACGCTACAATCTGATGTACATACACATAATACTCGTTTTAAGGACAATATATGTGTTCCTTTCTGTCGCTTGTCAAAAACTCAAAACGGATCTGAATTCTGGGCCAAACAATTTTATAACCACATTCCGGATACAATTAAAATACTCCTAGAGACTTCAAAAATAAAATTAAAAGGTTCCTCAATGATAAAGCGTTCACTCGTATGAAGGGTTCCTAAAGTGTGATCTTGTTTGTTCTCGTTAACTTATAATGTTAATCGTATATAGTTTCTATCTAGTTAATTTATGTAAATTCTATTGTTGATGTTGACGAATGTACATGCACATGTGTATAAAACATGAATAAATATTATTATTATTATTATTATTATATACTCTTATTAGGCCATGGTTGAACGTATCAACTTCACTCT